CCCCAAAACCCCAAAACCCCAAAACCCCAAAACCCCTTTGAATAATTTTTAAATTGATTGATTAATTATATTTTCAAGATGAACAAGTAAGTCTGAATTGGGAAAAATGTAGGGAAGAGGTTAAAGCAACTCAAGATATTGGTAACTCTTGCTCATTAAAATAACAGAGAGTGTCTTCAAATTTCCAGAGAAATCAGAAGTCGTTATCAATATTCAGAGCTCCCAGAAGAAGTCAAGGAATACACAGAAGTATTATACCAAGAAATACATGAGTTTGGCTTAGAATTTTATTTTATAGAGGCTGATATAGCCCCTAAGGCAGATCTTCCCTGAATTTCAGGTGCATCTTACAGCTAAAACTTAGGTGATAATTTCTCAAAATAAGAGGCTACTGATGGTAAATACTTCCCAAAGCGTTGAAAACTATACAATATCCTTTACTCAACAGGAACCTAAGCCAGATTGAAGAACCTTTAGAGAGAAGTCGATAAATCAGCCTTAACATTGATAAAGCCAAGAATGTGCCTATTAAAAGTTCACTAAAGTCATCTATGGTGATCATGAAGATCTTCAGTCCTGACTGCACAACAGTGAGATTTGTCCCTGACCAGTTATTGTTCACTCCTACAGATTTAGAAAAGTAAGCTCTCTGCTTAGTTTAGGACTGTCAAGGTCATCTATAATCGCATTGAGGACAAAGAAAGAGACTATTTCACTGTAGTGCACAAGTAGGATATACCTTGAATTATTGGCAGTAATCTATAGAACATATTCGGAGGATTATAACTTCCATGCCTTAAGAGTTGAAATCCAGGTGAACCTCTTTAGTCAATCTTGTAGGCTTTTGTAATTCAGAGCGAAGGGAATAACCAAGGTTGTATTTAAATAACATTTTAGTGTTCCAAAGTTGTACCAATGCTAAATCAGCTGGAGAGTCAAACCAACTAGGCTCTAAAGATGGAATATTCCTGTTTGGTCCTGGATATCTTGAAACTTGAGAATTCTCAGACCCTCTTGTGGGAGATTTAAAGATCAAGACTGTAGATCAGGGATTTGACTTTTCAGTAGCTCTAGATAATAAAGGGAATCTGCACAGTGCCAATATTGATAACTTAAAATCTCTCGCCTGATCAAGAGCTCCAAATAGAATAATGAAGAGCGAATTTGTTGTTGGGTCTCCAGGGAAGGTTGCTATAGATCCTTCAGATAACTCACGAATGTTTCAGGTAATATTAATCATCCTTAGTCTTACAATTCAGGATTGGGCGATTGCAGATAGATTTGTTCAGTTCAAGCTCCCATACTATGTCAAGCAAGTCTCTTGTGGCTCTCATCATGTGGCCTTACTAGATGACACTGGGAAGCTCTTTACTTTCGGCTGAGAAGAGAATGGAAGATTAGGATACTCCCTTGAAGAAGTTGGAATTTTGCCTGAACGAAGGTTTCAATTTTCAATAAGTCTTGTGGTCCCAGAGCCTAATCAGCATGGAGTCCAAGAGAAGTTCATCCAAATTTGTTGAGGCTATCACTGTACATTCGCTATCTCAGAATCAAATTCGGTCTATTCCTGAGGAAAAGGAGATTTCAGTGTCCATCTTGATGCTCTTGGACAAGACAAGTGGACTATGAGCAAGATCGATAATATAACTCAAGAAGTAATCTACATCTCAGTGAGTAAAGGAAGATGTGCCTTTGTCGATTCAGATTGAGACCTCTATACCTGGGGTAGCTATGAGTCCAATGTTGAGACCTCACTGACTAAAGTTGAAGGGAAATATATCACTGTTTCATGTGGAGAAACCCATACTTTAGCCATCGGAGATGACTACCAGGTGTATTCTTGGGGTGACAATACTTATGGCCAGCTTGGAAGCAAGAGACATCCTGAGGAATGGGATTCTCCTTCACAAATATTTCATCTAAAAGGAAGGACTATGGTAAACATTGGCGCAGGAAGGTATCACTCAATAGCTGTCACAATCGACGGCTTTGTGTATTGTTGGGGTAACAATATGAACAAGCAGCTTGGAAGTAAGATAGAAAAATCTAAAACTCCCACTCTTCAGAAACATTTACTTGGACATGGTATTTCTTTTATAAACTCAAAATATGACAAAAGTTATTTCATCTCAGCCTGTCAAGACGATGAGCCTGATATCGACTACTATCGTCGGTGAGTTATTCTCTTAAAATTTAGTATAATTGAGCTAGATAAGAACAAGAGATCAGTGAAGGAGATCAGTAGTAATTTCATTTTCTGACATTAGAAACCCGGATCACGTATGAAGAAGAGAAGAAAAATAAGATGGTAGAGATAGCAAAGACTAAATAAATTCAACAATGATGAGTATATTTGTGCATTAAGAAATATAGAAAGGCAAATACAGCTTCTTTAGCTCCTAAAATAGACTCTAGTGCTCGCTGAATGTTTATGTACAAGCGTCCTGGCACTAAGGTAACTCTCTTTGTCCTCAGCTATAGAACATGTTTGGCAAGACAAATACTTCTATTGTGACATTGTTTCCAACTCCACCGGCGAAATTTGTCCCGAAGGATAAAGAAAAAGCGTAAATTTCTTTAAAATCTCTATAGAATTGCACATTTTAGAGAGAAATGACAAGCTAGTACAGACTCTCATGATTGTAAGAGCCTTAAGAAGCAGAATCCATTTGTTTTCATGGCAGGGTATAAATTGAGAAATGGGATTTAAATTCAATGATATCAATGGATTTTGGGGTTTTGGGGTTTTGGGGTTTTGGGG